CATAGGGAATTGTGAAACATAAGGTTGGTATCCTATCGATGGTGGTTGAGCCGAATTTAATTGCCTAAATGATGCTGCAACATTTGGATCCCATGGCCATCTAGGCATCACGGATGGAGATTGTCTTGGCTCTGAATTAGTTGTTGTTTGAGCACCAGATGTTGTAGCAGATTCTTCCTATAAAAAAAAAAAAAATTATTGCAGTTAATCAAATAAGTAATACAAGTCTTGCACGTTAAATACAGTCTTAATTTTAACGTCGCAAAACTTAAACTGCTACATACAATCAATGACATTACCTCATTTAATGGCCGATCTCCTGGATTTATGACATTAGGTGTGTTAAGTTGTGTGTTATTTTGTGAATTTTGGGCTGTACTTTGTGTTGATTGTTGTGCATTTTGACTCGTCGTCGCATTTGCCTGCCCATCAACATTACGCTCATTCACATTAGCAAGGGGATTGGGTGGGATATGCCATTGTCCATGCATTCCGGGAGGCGGAAAAAATGTCATTGGGGGGAATCCTGGAATTGGATTTGTTAAGAATCCGGGTGGATTCGCAAAAGGAATTCCAGGCAACTGTGGCTGAGGCTGAGGAGGTTGTGGTCCATTATTGTGTTGAGGTGGGATGGGACGTGCTGGTGGTTGAGTGGGCGTAGGTTGTTCTTTGAATAATAAATAATAAGACGGAAAGAAAATGACGTTATGAAATATGAATAGCACTATTCTATAGCCAGTGATCGCTGAAGACCGAAAGATCTTTTATTAAGTGATATGCATATCATTTAATGAACTTGTTCGGTCTTAGTGATTATTAGCTATATTACGGTCTAGGCTTGATTTAACGATGTCAGAAAATAATGAGATTGATTATTAAATGTAGCTGACATATATTTTTTCTCATAAAAACGGTTCGTTAAAGCAAGATAAACATTATTTAATGTCGGGGATGATGCTGAAATTTTGACTTATTTTATTATGAAAAATTAAAAATTTTTTGGAGGTGTTTGTTCAGCTTTTTTTTTTTCATAGATCGATTAGAAGTTAGGGTTAGTGTTTATAATAAAAGAGTATAGGTGGATTTTAGTAGGGTTTATATTTTCAAATTAAGACCCAAATTTCAGCAACATCCGATTTCAGCATCATCCCCGACAATTAATGATCGTTAAATAATCGCTATATCAAGCCCTGGCTATATATATTCAAGAGTGGTTTGGCACTTACGTTCAGACAAAACAGGTCTACGACTAATGATAAACAAAATTTAATAAATATTGCATGGTGAAACGTATGAAACTAAAAGTTACGAGAAAAGGATATATTTCACTTACCAAGTAGGACAACTCTGTTGTCTTTCCAGCCAACTACGCAAACAATGAAAATGGAAAATATGGCCACAGGGTAATTTTTTGGGAACATCTCCTGGTCCATTATTCCCTTGTCTAGGTTGAGGTCTGCCATTGATATCTTCCGCGTTATTATTATTATTATTATTATTGTCATTAATTATAGGAGCAGCAATCATTTCCTCTCTACATATTATGCAAGCACGATCACTTAATCGCTCAAGTTCATCATTAGTTGCATTAGGATAACGTTCGTTCATATTCCTAGTGGCACGACGATATCGAACAAGATCACCACATTTTTGAAGGAAAGAGCGAAGTGTAACGTAGACGTCACGAATAATATGTAGAGGGATGCCGTAATTTACGAGAATTATTGCAAAAAAGATGAGATAGGTAATCAATTTGAAGAAATCTAAACAAATTTTCAAGATACTGTTAATTATTGCAACATATTAAAAAGTGTATGAAGTGAATATATATTAATAAACTTTTACCAGTCACGAGTTCTAGATAAAAAACATAGATTGATTTATTCTCCCATGGATCTTCACGTCTCATATCAATAACATTCAAGACATATTTAAATAATGTGGATATAATCGTGGCACCAAGAATAGAGTACTGTGTTTTATACAAAGCAGATTAAAATATATGTTAGCTTAATAAATTCATAATATGGTTAATTATAATGTATATATAAACAGCAAATAACACAGACTAACTTCAAACGCAAACATAATCATCATGTTTGGACCATTTTTAAGAGAGACATCAACAGCATGGTAAACTAGATATATGTCAATAGCACATAGAATCTCCATTAAAGAGACAATTCGAACGTGAAAGGACATCGGCACGGCCGGCGATTGTTCCATCTGCCATTAAATAGAATTATTTAAAAGTTGAAATTGAAATATTTGTTTGCAATAAAATATGACTTCAGAGGTTATACTCACGAATTCTACACGATCTTGACATAACCAATGAAATATTTTTAGAAATAATAAAGTTGTAAATGTTATGACGAATCGAGTGTCGAATTCGTCTCGGAATATAGTCATGGCCAAGCATGTTTCCGTAACGGCATACCAGGATCTCTCATATAAATGCTTATTCACGGAAATTGGGAAAATTAGTCAAGATAAACTATAGAAATATATACAAAAATAAAAAACTTACCTCGATCTCTACAGCGCGTAATCGCCCAAAAAATATTGTTTGAAGTATCTGGCCCAATACTATCGTTAGAAAAAATCCCATGTTCATAAGGATCTACCAGTAAGGAATAATAAATTAGTATATCAAGCCACGATCGGCGTCTAAATTCACTCATGACGCGAAAGACAAGAAACTAGGTTCGAACTCATGACAATCATTGATAACAAGTGTTTAGACGGTGAAATATTGCCATAAGACGTCAAAATAAATTTAAATGGAACTTACCATCATGCATGCGCTAGATTTAGATAAGTAAATGCACGCTGCAAAGAAATTACTTCTTTGGCGAAAGGCAGCTGCAATGACCGAAAAGGACAAGAAAGTGCTAACCCCTCCATAAACTGCTAGTCGCACCATTTTTATAAATGATTGTAATTCTGTCACCACAAATTTGTTATTAAAGGAATAATGCTTTGGTAGATTAGGTATATTAATGAAATATTTGAAATAACTTCGACAAAGCCATCAAATAATAATAATCGTTAAGTACGTACTTAAAATGTCAAATTTATACTTTACCTGTCTACTTTATGCCACGTAGTAGCACAAAATATTCTCGCACAGGTGGCTCATCTTTGCTTTTTATTAGTAGATATGTAACCTATAAATTAGCGTTAGTGACGAAATTACATTGTCTTTTTACGGTGACCCCAACTTAAATTGATTAATAATATATATAATTTAATTAAAGAGGTAACTACGTATCTGCAAGAGATCCCCTTTTACATATAGAATTTTGTTTAAAGATCTAACGCTAATTGCACACATTTGGATGTATTAACAAGAAATGCTATGCCTAACTTAGTTTAAACCTATTTCATACGCATCCAGTTACTTCATACGTAAACCATAATGATAAGTAGTTTCTAGGTCATAAGATTAGCATTGATTTTTTGGTTTTATAATTTTCATAACCTTATCATTTTCTCGTCTATGATTTTCTAATCAAAAAGTGTTGAAAACACCCCATAGGAAGACTTTCGTATGATTGACTGTTTAAGTCTATTTAATTTTACATTATTTATACAGTTTAAAGTACTTTTAAAAAAAAATCAAACTACAAAGAATA